AAAAAAAAAAAAAAAGAAAAAAGAAAAAAGAAATACAATCCCTAAAAGATACAATGTTTCCTAAAAGAACAAATAAACTACCAAGTCCTGTGTAATACACAGCCATTGAAGAAGAAACTCAAATTCAATTGTCCACCCCAGCAGGCAGCTGGCTTCACTTAAGCATTAGACATTGGAGAAGGAAGCCCAAATGCCTCCAAGGCCTCACATCAAAAAGACTTACCAATGCTTCAACAAGAGGCAGTTCTGTTCTGTGGTATACACATCAGGGATCTGGAGTCACCCCTGTGTCCTCATCCCACCTCCACTCTCTATCAGCTCTGTGAGCTCAAACATGTCCCTTAACTTCTTCTCTGAGCTTACTTCCTCCCCAGTTAAATGCAGGTAAATCTTGTGTGGTGGCCGCAGGAGGACCATAGGTCCTCCTGTAAATCTGAATATGCATGCTTCAGGGATGCCATCCCAGAGCAATACGTTTTCCTGACAGGGGTGGAGGAGTCTGTTTTCCAAACCCAACAACAGTACTATCGCCACACACATCACACCTTCTGCTAGGCATAGGTCAAACTTCCATCAAGTCCTGAGAAAGAACTTAACCACAAAACCAGCATCCAGCACGAGGTTCCACTGCAGCTCTTAATGGCGGCCTCTGCTCAGACAGAGCCCCCAGAGGCTCCCTTCCAATGTCTGGACAGATGCCCAGAACAGCAGCACATTCTGTACTAAGCCACCCTGAACCACGCTGCCACTGTTACATTGAACAGAACCTGCCCAGCCCTGCTCAAATGCCCAGCCCTGGACACAACCCCTGCCCACCTTCACTCCCTCCAGGAGTGCCTGGGGGTCCTCGATGCCCTCAGGGACACATTTCTTATTTTCTGGGAGGGATTCAAGTTTCTCCACCAGAGCTTTCAGGCCCTTCAGTTCAAACTCGGTGAGGTGGGTCCATTTGGCAGCAACCTCTGTGGTGGGAGAGCCAGTGGGCGTCTTGGGGTAGTCTATGGGCATCGTGGTAGACTTCACACTTTCTTCTGACTCATTAGACAAAGTCCTTTTGAGGAACCGCATAGCAGGTGCTTTGGGCTTCTTCCCAGGGGCCTCCTGGTCCTCAGAGGGGGTGCTGGTGGGTGAGACAGGGCCATCGACAGGCAGCTTGGGCACCTTATCTGCACCTTCCCCCTCCTCCTCCTGTTCCTCTTCTTCCTCCTGGGGCTGCTGCTCACAGGACTCCTCCTCCATCTCCAGCCAGGAATCAGATGAGAAGCCGTCTACACTCGGCTTTCTCGGGGCATCTGGGGGAGCAGGTGTCACAAGAAAGACTGAGATGAATGCCTAACTCCCTGCTGGAAGTTCTAGGCCCTCTACTCAACCTCCCCTTGACTCCAAAGATCAGGTTTCTCTGACAATCCTACTGGTCTATGCCTCCTGGCCCCTAGAAAGACTGAGCTCAGTCAGAGGTTCAAATCCCAGCCCTACTGCTTCCTGGCTGCATGTACCTACACGGGTTGCCTCACCTTTCTGAACATACCTGGCTCTTTATTTTTTAATGTTTAAAAATAAGCCAAAAAGAGCATACATCATATGATTCCATTGATGTGAAATATCTAAACAGTGGGAAAACTATAGACAGGAAGTAGATTAGTAGCTGAGGGGCCAGGGAGGAGAAAATGAGACAACAACTAAAGGGTTTATTTTTGAGGTAATGGAAATGTTCTAAAATTGACTATAGTAGACTGGTGCAGTGGCTCACGCCTGAAATCCTAACACTCTGGGAGGCCAAGACAGATGGATTGCTTGAGATCAGGAGTTCGAGACCAGCCTGAGTAAGAGCAAGACCCCATCTCTAAAAAAAGGAACAAAAAACCCATTGGGCATTGTGGAAGGCATCTATAGTCCCGGCTGCTCGGGAGGCTGAGGCAAGAAGACTGCTTGAGCCCAAGAGTCAAAGGTTGCTGTGAGATATGATGCCACAGCACTCTACCAAGGGTGATAAAGTAAGAATCTGCCTCAAAATAAATAAAATAAAATAACACAACATAAAATAAAATTGACTGCAGTCTATTAACTCCACGAATATTCTAAAAACTACTGGATTGTACACTTTACATGGGTGAAGTGTATGAACCATGTCCCAGTAGAACTATTTACAAATGTAAGGTAGGCCAGGCACAGTGGCTCATGCTTAGAATCTTAACACTTTGGGAGGCCAAGCCAAGAGGATTGTTTGAGGCCAGAAATTTGAGATCAGGCTGTGCAACAACACAGTGAGACCTCATCTTAGTTTGTAATTTAAGAAATTAGCTGGGGGGGCAGTGCCTGTACCTTAGTGGGAAGGGCACACCAGCCACATACACCCAGCCTGGCGGGTTCAAACCTGGCCCAGGTCAGCTAAACAACAACAGCAACAACAACAACAACAACAACAAAAATAGCTGGGCGTTGTGGTGGTTGCCTATAGTCCCAGGTACTTGGGAGGCTGAGGCAAGACAATTGCTTAAGCCCAAGAGTTTGAGGTTGTTGTGAGCTGTGACACCATGGCACTCTACTGAGGGCGACATAGTGAGACTCCATCTCAAAAAAAAAGGAAGAAAATAAATTAGCTGGGCATGGTGGCAGCTGCCTGTAGTCCCAGCTCTTTGGGAGGCTGAGGCAGGAGGATCACTTGAGTCCAGGAGTTTGAGGTTGTAGTGACTTACAATAATACCACTGCACTCTAGCCTGGATGACTGAGTTGAGACCCTGATTCTAAAAAAAAAATTTTTTTGAATACACAGATGAAAATATAAAGCAAAGCAAATGTCCTCTGGAGGCTGTGGTGAGAAGTAAACAGGCATCACCGTGCACAGTTCCTGGCACAGGAGTAGCAGTGAATAAGGGGGGTGCCTTCTTCACATCTGCCCCGCTCCTTGGCAGATAGACTAGATGAACCAGCAGGAAAACAGTGGCAAGAAAATGTATGGGAAAAAAGTGAACACTGATTACCCAAGCACCACCTCACAATCTCCTCTTGTGCCTGCAAATGGAATTGGAAATGTTCTTCTACCCTAAATATCCAAGTGAGAAAACCAACCTTTGATTTCCTAGCCTGGGGACTACTGACACTCAGAAATCCTTCCACTCTTCCCAAACTCTGGTCCCCAGGGGAATGTGTAGTTACTGCAATCATAGCAGCTCTCACGCTATTTCAGGATTATTTCCCTTCTCTCCCACCAGGCTGGGAGGTCCAGAGGAGCAGGTGGTAGTGTTCCGGTACTTTCCACCCCCTGAATAGTATCATCTGATGGCAATGAGACTCACGACACACCCCAAAGACAAAGCCTTCCCAATAAAGCTCCCATAGGAACAAACAAAAAGTTCCTCCTCCTATGTCCAGCTTGGGACCCCTAAACGTCATTAAGCACAAGGGTTCATGGAAGCAAGGAAGGAGGATTCCTGTAGGGTGTAAAAAAGAAGAATCTAAAAATCCTAGAGACTGCAGGAAAAATCGTGCAGACCCTCCAGGAGACCGACCATGCTCATCTTTCTACCCTGTGATGAGAAATGCTGTGGTTCAGACACAGCGGAATCTACATCCAGGAAATGCCCTTGGCGACAATAGCTCAGAGATCTGGCCAGGAACAATCGTGTTCCTCCTCTATGTTGCTGGTCAGGGCTTGCTGTCACAGCCAGATGCAACTTCGGGGTGGACATTTGTGAGGCAAGATTCAAGGGCAGAGCCATGTTGAGGGGGATGATGTACCTTTAAGTACTAGCAGCAGGACAGGGTGCTGCAGCAATGGCTACAAACACTCTTTCCCTGCTCCTCCAAGCCTGCACCACCTACTCTGGCCACCTCTCCTGCAGACTCAAAGGCAGGCTGGATTTGGGAGACTGGCTACTCTCATAGGCCTGCTCCTGTATGGACAAAAATCCAACCTCTGTAGGGGGTGGAATCAGCTGGTAAGTAGGGAGGAATCAAAGCACAAGGATTCTTTGCTCTGTGGGGTGATCCTGTTTCAACAGCCATGCCTGGAACCAGCCCCTCCCTGCTTCTGCATAGTCACAGGCTGGAGGGCATAAACATGATTCTTTGAGGGTCACAAGTTTTTTTTTTCTTGGATTCTATATTCAAAGTGGGAAGCTGACAAGAATGAACTCCCTCCCTCAAGGGGTCTCTAGGACTCTAACCAATACTCTGGCCTCAAAAGAATCTCCTAAACCCAGGGAATCTATCCAGGCCCCGCTGAAAGAATAATTTCTGCCCCAGCTGTGCAGCCAAGGCTGTGGCTCCCTGTGGTTCACTCACCAATGAGCATCGATTCTCTCTGATATTCCTGAGTGAGGTAGGAGCGCTGGGTCACACAGTACACATATCTCTCCAAGACATACCAGCACATCTCATAGTAGAAGGGGTAACGGAATTTGGGCTGCACCTGCAAGCAAAGGCCCAGGCAGGTAGAGGTCAGTTTCTGGAGGGCAAAAGGGAAAGGAGGGAGAAAAGTGGGGGAAGGCTCCCTGGGGGTGGGGGTCACTGTCATCACCTTAGCAAGAACACAAATGGTGGAAAGGGAAAATGGGCGGGTTGCTGGGAGGGGAAAGATGCCAGCAGCATGCACAAATGAGGCAGAGGACGCGGCCCATGTGAGAGCGTCATCTCAAAGGTCCCTGAGCTGCATGTTCCGGAAGTTGAATGGGGGCTACTTGGTGCTTCTGTGAGGGGCAGAAAAACAGAGTTCTCCCTTGACCTGCTAGCAGATGGTGTGGGTACCTGCAGATGGGAGTCACTGCCTGATTCTAGCTATAACAAACACAGGCTCTTCATCACTCTTGAAAATTCTTGCACAGGTTCTTCTGTCTCTCCCATCCCCTTGAAAAACAGAAATCAACCCCCAAACCTTACCCATTTGCAGACAGGCTATGGAGCATCATCCTGCACACTGGGAGGGAGGCTGGGCCAGGCCAACCAATGAGGGTGGAGGGGATGTGGCCTCCCCCACCTCTAGGGGCAGGGCCTCAGAAGCTCCACCTCCTGCTCCAAGCCCACACCACTTGGCATTGCCCAGCCTGTACTGCCAAAAAGGGCTCCCACAGACACAAATCCCACGTCTGATCTGAGACCATCCTGACACTAGAGGAGACACAATCGAGTCTGTCGCAGTAGGCCACATGGAGATCCCTCATTGGCTGTTTCTTTATAGGGGAAGAAGAAAAAGAGGAGACAACTGAGGGTATTAGAATTGTAAAGAAGTCTGGGACCCAGGGGTACTCCAATGGGTGGCAGTTCAGGGTCTAGAGATGAGATGGCAGCAAAAAATGGAAAGGAAGCAACACCACTGATGGACCGGGCAGGATGAACCTTCTAGAAACTACATCCTATATAGTCAAGGGAGGATCAAGGATGGTAGCACTGAACCCTCTCAGCACTGAACCCTCTCCTCCAGAGGCTACATACACATCCACACTCACACCTGCCCTGCTCTCTTGCCCTCTCTCGCCAAGGGTATGTCTACAAAAGTCAGAGACACACCCCCCTCTACTCCCTGATCCTCCAGGAACTCAGGGAGTTGGTTATTAAGCAAGCACACTCTCCCTCCCCAGCTACCCTGGTCCCTCTGCTGACAATAAACAAAGTAACATTCTACATCTGAGATAAAGACAAATGCAAGCAGATCTAGGTTCTCCATTTACCCTAAAATACTATTTTCCTGCCTTTCTCAAAATGCCCACCTGGAAAAGGCTCCAACTGGGCCCTTTCTGAGAGATCTAGGTCTCACTTGGCTCCTGCCCACTCCTGCTAAGTCAGTTTTCAGTTGTGAGGCCCTTTTCCCACTTTAAGGGCCTCATTCCACCCATCTGCACATTGGGTCCATTTGATCTCCCTGTGCTGGTGGGTGGTGTGCTCTGGAATGAGATCATGGCCGTCACATGCTTTTGAGCTCCTTGGGCGGGGGGGG